TGTTGGTTGTTCTGTTGATCCTTTTCGTGGGCTCCTTTTGTGGCGCCTACGACGAGTCACCAACGTCCAACCTTCATTATCCTCAGGTTGACCTTCTTCAACTTTGTTATTCTCCAGTAACTCTTCATCTTTACTTTCTTTAAAACTACATAATTCGTCTGGACTGAATGAGCCAAATGTGATAGAGACTTGATTTGCGCTTGCTTTCTCATCTTCAAGCACGATCTTCTTTTTGCGAGCCAAGTCCATAACTTTGTCCTTGAAGAAAAGCACTTCTCCAGAGGGTGGCTCACAAGTCGGTGATATTTGCAGTAATTTGGGTCGTTCGTTTTTCCAGCTTCATTTGGTCGCTTCATCTTCGGAAGCTCAATAAGATTTAACTCAAGGAGTTCTTCAAAAATGGCTGGCACATCAGAATCCAGAAATGAGTACTCTTTCTCTTGCATTTCTTTCAGAGTCAACTTCCCACTTGGTTTATCTTGAAAAGAAGTGGATTTTGTACTCTGCTTCTTGCTCACCTTCGTTGTGAACTTCACAGGTGATGTGTTGACATTCATAGCTTCTTTGTTTTCAAATTTGGGAACAAAATTGCTCCATTTCCTGACTTCTTGCTTGTCGTTCCCTTTGCGAGGCTCATAGATAGGCAGCCTTTCATTTCCAGCGGAGGCCATGCTTAACTCCATATCGTGGGCACGAGTTGCTAGTTCTTCAAATGTGCTAGGCTTGATACCTTGCAAGATTTAGCAGAGTCCCCAATGCATGCCTTGGATGCACATCTCTATGCCAGAAGCTTCATTAAGCCTCTCTTTGTAGTTGAGGCTTATATTCCTCCAACGATTGATAAAGTCGATAACTGGTTCACCCTTTTATTGACGAGTATTTGTAAGTTCTATCATAGTCATAGTACGTCTCGTACTATAAAAGCGATCGACGAAATCTTGCTCTAGTTGATCCCATCAATCGATAGATCCAGCCTCGAGATCTGTGTACCAGTCAAAAGCATTTCCTTTTAGCGAGCGGACAAACTGCTTGATGAGGTAATCTCCATAAGTCCCGGCATTGTTGCACGTCTCAACGAAGTGCGCCATATGTTGCTTTGGATTACATTTACCATCAAACTGTTGAAACTTTAGAGGTTGATAGCCAGCAAGAATCTTCAACATATCGACCCTTGCAGTTTACGGCTTTGCATATGTAAGGGAGGATTTGGCAAAAACTTCATACTTGTTCTTAATAGTTCCTTCAATGAACTTCTTCAGTTGATCGATTGGAATCATCCCTTCAGATGAGACAGGGATAGCCTTAGCGGATGCTACTTGTCTTGGGGGAGAGTCACTCTCTAGAACTTTTGGGAGCTTGCTAGGTGCGTAGGTGGATTCTTCTTCCATCAAGATTCCCACCTTATCTGTTAGCTTGTCGATTCTAGCATCTTGATTTTTCATGCACTTGGTCAAGCTAGCAATCGCTTCCGTCAAGTTTGCCAACTGCTCCTCCACAGACGAAGTGTTTGTCACCATGGCTTGCATAATTGTCGTGGACGATGGAGAGTAGCATGGATTGTCACAAAGATTAATCCTCGGTTGGCTCATGCTATGCAGTGTAAGTGGGGAGGATCCATAACTTGAAACATCATCATCTTCCTTCACAACAGAGTGCTTGGATCCGGAGAGGTCAAGCAGAGAAAGAGTTTTCTTGATCTTTTCAGCAACATCGCATCCTACTTCAGGTGCGTTTGTGGAAGATCTTGCTCATTTTGAGGATGAAGATCCGAAAACAAGGGTTGATGCGGATGGCACTTGGGGTGCTTGTTGTCCTAACAAGCTTGCTTTTCTCCTTGTAATTGGTCCAAAGCTTCCAAAGGTAACTTCGAGTATGTTTTCGACATCAGCATAGAACCTGGAATTAGCAGACTTGGTAGAAGTTGGACCGGAGTTGATTTTCTTTGAAGCCATTTCAATGTTCTTGAACTTAGGTGATTGAAAAGTTGAGATGAGAGGTAGAGATAGTCCCACTGGGCGTGACAGAATTTGTAGACAATAAATTTGCGTCAAGAAAATAAAATCAAGACCGAAAATATTGCGACAATCGTAGTATTTGATTTTAAATAATATGAGTGTACAATCTCTATGAATCCTCTGATTCTTCTTTCAAATAGTAAATAAATTCAAGGGCCTTTGAGCTTAATCTTGAATATGTAGTCGTCGCCACGAACGATGATCTTGTTCTTGAGCTTTAGCTTAATTGCTTGAACTTGAACTTGATTTGTTCTTCGTTCTTGAGCTTGAACTTGGTTGCTTGGAGCTTGAAACTTGTGGAGGAATTTGTAATGTTTGATCCACGAGCTCTTTCTTGCTTCTTGTTATAACTTCTGGTGTCTTTTCTGGGTTATGAAGATCCATATTTATAGTTGTGGAAGGGAGGAGTTGTGATAAGAACAAACTCTTTCCGACCAATCAAATTAAAGTGTGACATGGCCGCATTTAATTGGCCAGAACATGTCACTTGCACACGTGGCGCGGTTTTATTGGCCTTTTAATTTGGCTTGGCATGCCTTGTCATTTTGACACATGCACGATCCTATTGGATCTTTCGTTTGACTTGGCGTGCCACGTCATTTGGCACGTGGCACCAAACTGGGCCTTTAGGAAGATGACATCTTGGGCTTAATAAAGTGAGCTCATCAATTTAGCACAATTAAATGGGCTAGTCCAATAGATTTGGGCTTATTTATTTAATTCTTATATATTGGATTTATATAACTAATCCAATTATATTAGCCCAATAAATTTATTTGAACTAATATATCTTGAATTTAAAATATAGTCCAAATTATTTTATAGATTTAATCCAATAAAATTCTATATGCCTACAGTTATGAAGAATATAATCGAATCTAAGATTTTAGTCCGTGATCAATAAAGAATATAACAACATTCATACTCATTTATGACTATAGTGCACGCACTTACCCCGACCCAAAAACAAAAAGGGAAAAGATATTTTTACATTCTTATACACATGAAATTATATTACCCTCCCTACTCAAATTTTACTATAATTATATTTTATACCCAATTATTATTTATGTACATTTTAAGGGAATTAATGATAATAAATAGTATCCTAAAATAACTCTACCTTATATTCCACTCCCCCCCACGTTTCTCTCTCCACATCCACCCCCTCCCCCACGTATCTTGCACGCACTTTACAATCTTTATAATCAAACAGTTTCGTTGTTTTTACTATGTATAAATCAGATACAAAATATAGAAAAGACATATTGTATAAATTTTGTATAAAATTTGTATTTAAGTTGTATGTTATTGTAGTTGTATTTAACTGGGTAAAAATAATATGTGAAAGTTGTAGATAAATTGTATAATATATAATTAGTTGTATAAAATTTATTTTTACTATGTATAAATCATATACAAAATATACGAAAGACATATTGTACAAAATTTGTATAAAAATTGTATTTGAGTTGTATGATATTGTACTTGTATTTAACTATGCAGAAATAATGTATAAAAGTTGTAGATAAGTTGTAAATTAGTTCGTTTGAACTCAGCACTTTTGATCCGGTACATAATTTATGTGTAAAAGTCACTTAAATTGCAAAAAATAATAGGTGAACCTTAATTTTAAAAATATACAGGATTCAATGTTAAGAACATTAAATGTTAAACCCACATAGCTTAAATCTTAAATCCGGCTCTGCCTCTGCCTCCAAATTCTCCCTTAAAAAAAGAAAAAATTCTCCATTATTTTCCATTTCACTACTTAATTCCAGCATTCCACTTTCGTGTTTTGCAAAGTGGAGATGAAAAGGGAAAGCATATGAGGAGCACATTGCTTTCGAAAATGGGTGCACAAAGTTTATAATCAAATGGGAAATCTGAAACTACAGAGGTAGAGACTGCAGAACTTACACATACACAGAGATCCTATTCATCATTGTCGCTCAAACAACAACCACCCAAAATCAAAATAAATTCAACCAAGGTAAAATAGTTTAAAATAATGGAAATAAATCAATGTATTTGTGTGACTGTAAAATTTTTAAAACTAGTGATCTTAAATCTGTTATAACATTTGTGTAGCTATAAATAATTCATATTAAAGAAATATTAAAAGGTATCAATCTTTTTCAAATTGACTAATAAAAAAATAGTATCAATCTTTTTTTATCGGAGGGAGTAATAGTTATAATTATTAGAGTAATATTTAGCTATCACATGTTAAACTATAACATGAGTAATAATTTTCTGTATACTTTGTACAATCTAAATTCATTTAGATAAACCTTAAAATTATTTGGAAACGTTGAAATTAATTTTTACGAGTGTATTTCAAATGTTTTATCACCGAAACTCGAGATGTTATCTCGTTTGTTTTATTAGATATTTTTGCTTTAGACTGAATAAATAAATAAAAGCAAAAGGGAATAAGAGTAGAAAACTACAGAAAACTTTTGGCAATGGTGTTTTGTTCTTTTGCCAAATTGTAGGCTGGATAGTCGAAAATAATGTGAGTATTTTATTACTGAAATAGTTTAAAATAATGGAAGATCCAGAGAGAAAGGGGAGCGAGGAGAAAAAAAGGAAAAAAAGTGTAACTATATCCCTTGATTGAAGGCACAAATAATGGATAATGGATTTGGGAACCTTTTAAGGTGGATTGTATATACTTTGTAAACAAAATTTGTTTGTGCCAGATAATTAGCTAAATATAGATATTAAGGGTAATAAAATTTCAAATAGTGTTATAGGAATGAAAAAATACAGGGAAAAAGGATTCCCTTGCAAAAACCTAAATTAAATACCAGTTTGAACAGTCAGGCCATGGATTACTAATTAAGGAGTTATATTATTTTTCTTGATTCCAAAATTATTTCCCGAACTAAAACACTAAATAATACGTACGTATATAATTAAGGGAATAAAATGAATGCATTATTTTTGAAAATCTAAAATACCTTATTTACCACGAGGAAATTAAAGAAGGCTAATATAGTAAATAATAAAAGCCGTCTGAATACACAATACAATTCAACAGCGTCCAATGAACATAGACAAAACAAGGAAAACTCCAAAGAGAAAATGAAAGCAACAGAGGGTGAAATTTCATGAATATCTTAAAAATCTCCACTTGGGAGTGGCTCATGGGAGTGGTTGATGAAGATGAGTTCATAGACAACACCAGCAATCCCACCACCAACAAGGGGTCCAGCCCAGTAGACCCATTGGTGGGTCCAGGTCCAGCTAACCAAAGCTGGCCCAAATGATACAGCAGGGTTCATTGAAGCTCCAGTAAAGGCTCCACCAGCTAAAATGTTGGCACCAACAATAAAACCAATGGCAATTGGTGCAATTACTCCCAAGTCTCCCTTCTTTGGGTCAACAGCAGTGGCATACACAGTGTAAACAAGTCCAAAAGTCATCACTATTTCAAACACTAAAGCATTCCATACTGATACACCAGCTGACAATGCAAATGCTCCTGTGCTCTGCATTATTTTTTTAACCATGACAATTGTTAGTATCACTCTTATATAGTATGAAAATTTAAAATTTGTACACTCATAATCTACAAATAAAATTTGTACACTTACATCAGATTAAGTTACCTATAAGAACAAGTTATAATCTATAAACATGCATGGAAAAAAGAACTTGTTATAATATGATAAAATAATGTAAGTTTTTTTTTTTTTTTTTTACTCTGATATAAAGGAATATGATTGGAATATTCTTTCTTTCACTATAAGCAGAGGAAAGTGATAATGCCACCTAACGGATGAATATTGTTAGTTACTAAATTGGCCCTCATAAATGTTGAATAAACGTGTATTATATAGTATTAGATATAGTTACCATCATATCACTATCTTACGTAATGAGAGGACAAACTAAGTCGCTTTCAAACGAGATATAAAAAAATTTCTAGCTAACACGAACCTTCTCAACGATAATGATACTGACACCAGCCAATAGTTCAACTTTTATCTATAATAATAAACGATATTCCTAATTTTTAAGGTATAAGAATTGCTTAATGTACTAAACGAAAATGACCTTAGAGCATATATTCTACTTTCACTCGCCGTCTTTGATTTCATGAGTCAAATTAACGAGGAGTGACATTTGATTTGATATTTAATTGCTAATGAACCTTGTGGTAATAGAAATTTCCTAGTAATCAAGAAGAAGTACTGTCTATTATAGAGTCAGCAGACCACATACCTAGCTAGTATATATTTTGCAGTTTTGATTTAGAAACTAGGCAAAATTTCCATATCCTCATATTTATTTCATGGTAAAAAAGAAGTACTCCATATAGTAATTCAGGATAATTTTCAAAAAGGGCATAACATTTCCTCACATGGCTGAAAACAAAAAAAAAAAGTCTGTACTATTTTCCCTTTACTACTTAACACAAAGGAAAAACTGTACGTTACTTTAAGGAGAGTTGCAAAAGCTCGTGATTTCTCTCTCATACGGCCACCATACATTCATTATCCGCTCAAGAGAAGAAACTGAATAAATAATTATTTATGCATCTCAGATCAACCTTCAAAAGGTAAATGACTATACTCTGCCTTTATAGCTAAAAAAAAAAAAAAAAAAGTCAGTTATAAGACTAAGGCCTCGTATGTTTTTTTTAAGATTAAGACGTCTGAATCTGAATACACATCTGAATATCAAGATGTGTATTAAGATCGGAATACTAAATGATTAAGAGTGTTTGATTTTTAATATCTAAATGTATAAAATATATCTTTATTTGAAAATTAATAATCATAAAATTCAATGAAATACTAATTAATCTAATATTCTATCAATAAAATATATAATTTTCTTAAAATATAGTAGTTGCTGGTGGTGATGGCTAACGGTGGTGCTTGTGAATGCCGACTAGATTCGGTAGTTGGTGGTAGATTTGGTTGATGGTGGTGGTTCAGGGTAGTAGCTAGTGGTGATTAGTAGTGGCGATTATGATTGAGGATAGTGGTGGTGAGTGGTGATAGTTAATAATAGCGGGTGGTGGTGGTAGTTGTGATTGAGGAAGGTGGTGGTGGGTGCCAGTAGTTTATAATGATGGGAAGTGTCGGTTATGATTCTTGATGGTGATGGGGTGGTTAGTTGTGGTAGTAGAGGTGGATGAGCGTTTGTGGTTGAGAATAATAGTGGTGGGAGTGGTGCGGATGGCGGGTAGTGGTATTCGATTATGGTAGTATATAGCTATGATTGAGGATGATGGTGGTGATGGAGGTTGAGTATGGTGGTGGTGGTGGCGGCATGGTGGTAGTTGATAATGGTATGTGGTAGCGACAATTAATAATGAATACGGATAATAGCATCTTAATAAAATTAAGTCTCTGTTATGGATCTTAAATATCATACAGACCTATTCATACTCATTAAGTGGTTGTGAAGTAAAAAATACAAACACACTTAATGATTAAGATCTGAATAATTAAGATTCACACTTAAAAAAACAAACGCACTTAATGTCTGAGATCTGAATGATTAAGAATCAGACCTCCATTAAGTGAAAACAAATGAGGACTAAGAGTTCACTTATATTATTTCTTTTTGTTTTCTTCATTTTTTCCTTTTTTTTATAGGAAAAAAGCTAAATGTAAAAAAGTCAAAGATTAAGATGCCTACTAAAGCGCTAGGATAGGGAAGTTAGAACAGTTAACATCAAGTCATAAAGGCTATAGCATGATAAGATTATACAGGCTAATTATGCAGCTAAGTAGTCTACAAATTAAGTATGTCAACATGCTTACCATGCCACCAGTGGCAAATTCAAGGAGGAAGCAAGCAACAGTGGATCCAAGCAACTGTGCAACAATGTAGAGAATCCCACGGAACAAAGTGATGTTTCCACCAACGAAAGCACCGAAGGTAACGGCGGGATTAACGTGGCCGCCGGAGATGTTAGCACCGACGGAGACGGCCACGAACAGCCCGAAGGCATGGGCTATTGAGGCAGAGATTAGGCCGGCAGGAGTAGCGGCGCCGTCAGCTGATAGCTTGTTGAAAGCCATACCAGAACCCTGACCTGCGAACACGAAGATCAAGGTACAGATGAACTCCGCCAAGGCCGCCTTGAGCGTCCCTGATTGGCGGAGTTCCTCATGGCTTCCAACGGAAATTTCGTTGATCGGCATGGCCGGAAAAATTGGATCTGGAAATAGAGAAAATGAAAATTTTCTAGTGCTACAAAGTCACTAAAGGCAAGGGGAGTGATGAAAATAGGGAAAGTTTGCATGGATTTATATTGGGAAATTGGTAATTTGCATGGGGTGTTAGGAACCGGCCATAGCAGGTAGCCGGTTACTATTTGGACCATATTAATAAGATTTAAATGAAAAATTGTGGGCGAGTGGTCCTGTAGAGGTCGAGAGGCCTGCATTGACAGCTAAGAATTCACCTCCAATTTGCTGTGGCGATGACACGTGGACAAGACGACAAGGAGCCACGTCATAGGGTTCTGTTTGATATTGACATAAAAGAGTGGGAGTGTCCCCCTTGTTATTGCTTTCGGTCGGTAGCAATCATGCACCATGGAATGATCTGGAACTAGGGTTCTTAATCTTTTTTTTCTTATTTTAATTCTGTCATTAAATAAGTAATTTTTTTTAATGGCAAATATTGCTCACTAACTTTTGTAGTGCAATAATCATCAAATTTCTACTCCCTCTGTCTCATATTATTTGTCGTGGTTTCTCTAAAAATAATTGTCTTAAATTATTTGTCATTTTAGAAGTTCAAGAGTAAATTAACTATTTTTTTATTCCTATTCTACTCTTAATATTAATTGTTCTCAAAGACTAAAATACCTTAATTATGAATAAGTAATAAATAATAAAAAATTATATCTTAAGACATAAATAAGAGTAAAATAGTCAAAAATCTTTCATATTTAATATTTTCTTAAAGGGCCTGTAAAAGAGAAACACGACAGATAATATGAAACTTAGGGAGTAGTATTTTAGGAGAAGCTTTTGAGACACGTGTATAACTGTAAATGATTAGTTGAAACTTCTAAATTTATATATTAAAAAGAAATTAAGAAAAGAAGGAGCAGCAGCGGTGGAAGTTAATTTAAAAGTTTCAAATTAATAGAAAGAAATGACAAAAAAAGTAAAGATATGATATCTTTTCATGTATTAATGATGAAGGTAATGGCTCCACTGTGGGGTTTGATATTTAAATATAAGTTTGACGAGGAATTTCCGATAAATATATGCCGCCCTATTTTGTTAGCATAAGAAATTATGAATCTGAAAAACGTGCACATTATGTTTTGCTGTAGGAAGATAAAGATCATTATTGTTCCTTTATTGAGATATATAACAATCTCTTTGAAACTAAGCTGTAATTTTCATATAAGCATCGATTATGTAGATGGTGTCAACCTGTTGTCACGAGTATTAGGACTATAATAATATGTTACGTTTATATATAAAATAAGATTTGTTCACTAGCTCTATTATATTGTATGTACTTTAGGATAGACAAGTATTATTTTCTGCGAAGTTAATCGAATGACACACCTTAATACACTTAGTATTAGTCCATTGCTTTAATTTAACTTATAGATTTATAAATTTAGTTATATGAAGAATAATTTCTAAATTATAAAATGAATAAGTCATCACCAAAATTAAACAAATTGATTAATAATTTGATAAAAAGATTCCATCTCATTAGGCCGTGGTAGTAACAAGTAAATTTTAGAGGATATGCTCTTTGGAAAAGAAAATAATTCTCTAGAGAATTCCTCCCAAGAAGTATATATGGTGGCGTTCGGATTTGCTGTTGGTTAAGATAAAGAAAATAATTTTGAGACATGTCGTTGTTTGGATTAGTTTTACGATTTCGAGAAGATGTAGAACGAGAAATTTAGGACCCGTTTGGCTATGAGTTTTGCCAAAATAAATTTGGGATTTATTTTCAAAACTCATGTTTGGCCATAAATTTTGCCCACATTTTGGCAAAATCCCAAACCCCAAATCCCAAAATCACCCAATTGCTGATTTTGGGCCAAAATCCCAAAACTTGGGAATTATATACATGTTTTTCCAAAATAAAGTTGGGAAATATGTGTTGAAAACATATGTCCAAACATATTTTCATCTTCAAACCAAACTTCACCCAAATCAGATTTTTCAAAACAAATTTGGAATCTATGGCCAAACGCTAGCTTAAAGAAAGACTAATACATTACAATTCTCGTTTACTTACTAAATTTGGCTCTATTTCTCTTTTACTCACTTCAAAAGCTTAAATACCCTACTTTCCTTTTTTAAAATTAATAACCTCATGAAAGCCCCTAAATTCATTTTCCTTTTCCGAAAAGGAAAAACACAATTCCAATTTGGAACAGCAGGTGTTTTCATTTATTGATAATAATTGAAGAGTACACATGACTATATAACCATGCACGTTTTTGCTAGATATATAGTATGTGAAATAACAAAGAGCGAAACCTTTTGGATATAATAATTTAAGTCGAAAGTAAAGTTACACAAAAAGCCGAATCCACATATACCGTAGAAAGAGCTCCTATAACTTTTCTAGTAGGTACTAGTCTCCTTCAGTCATCGATTCCTCTTGTACCATGGAGCATAGACGAAGAGGACAATGATCTGGAAAGTATATTCGTAAGGAACACTTTATGGACACAAAACAACTTTCCCCCCAACTTTACTGTTTTTTTTTTTTTTTTTTTTTTTTGTATAACCATTTGGTAGTGGATAGATCAATTCAGATTCGTACCTCGTAAGACCTATTAAAGGTGATAAAGTCAGAGATTTTTCCATTCCGAAAACTTAAATTTGAGATCTCTGATAAAGGATCGAGAGATCCTATCCATCCTTCCACATCTCTTGACGATCATTTTATGATTTTTCTAATTCTCAATTTGTCTAAAATGTTACGCATAACATCCCTGGCCTTAAAAGATTTTGCAGTCACTATAATGATTTGGCAATTGACAAGCTAAGGCATACTTCAATTCATCAAAACACCGAAACTTACTTAAAAGAAAAGTGAACAAACCATACTCCTCGAAGTAACTCTATTTCCATTTTTTCTAAGGAGTTATCGAAGGAAAAATACATAATATTGTCCCAAAGAAGTGGACAAGTCATGCAAAATATAACATATAGAGTTCCCATTTAGGGCCAATTCCACTCTGTCATTGAAATGTAGGGTTCAAATTTTCATTATTATCCTCCTCTTCCCACGACCCACCAAAATATTCTTTTTAAACAGAGAAAAATTAATAAATCAGACCTTTATTGGGACAGGGCATACCCTACATGATCCAATATTAATGGAAAGTGGAATATGAGGGCAGCCTGGCTGATTACTATTGCCAGTAGTGACAGCCATACAAAATGGGCAGATAGCTATTGGTACCCATTCCTCACATGACATGTTTGGTTGAGTTGAACCACAACTTTGTACTGCGTAAACGCTTGCCCACTCAATTTTTACGCCATATTACATAGTAATTTCATTACAATTATTAAGTGATAAAATTAAAATCACATGTATATTCTTTAACTAAAGATAAGTGAGAACAATTTACTGTAAAAGCACACGCCATTTATTCAATAAGTTGGTATAACGTTCTACTGTAAAAGCACATGCCATTTATTCATTAAGTTGGCATAACTTAAAAAACGCATTTTTCCTTTTCCCGCCTTTATTAACGATGAGAACGTACTATGCGTCCTGAGTGCACATATCCAAGTCAAAATTTACAGTGCAAACATCAATTCCAGTTGCAGCATTATCACTTTGTAATTTATAATAATGAAATATAGAAAAGGTCTTCAATCTTCACACTTACGCGTGTTTGGAACTAAGACTCCCTTTTCATAAAAGTCGCAAAACGATTAGATTATACGTTATGCACGACTATAAGTTTCCAGCTCTTAGAGAGACTAACACAAATGAAAACTAGCTGTTAACATGCCTCTACATACTACAATCAGAAGGCATAACAGCATTGTTCAATTTATAATGTTATTAAATCACCCTGAGAACTAGCTCTACTAGCTGGTCACAATCTCTGAATCTTAATGCACAAGTGCAACACCTTCTAGTTGTTAATATTAGCTCCAGCAACTAATGCACCTCATACCACTGTTTTTTTTTCTCTTACAAACGCTTAAAACAGCGGTAGGGCTTCAAGGATACAAAGATCTCTACTTATTAGAGATCCATTCTTCAAAGAATTCCAAGAAGGGTTCTGCATATGGTGTACTCTTTCCCCTTGCTTACTATAGCTGAACCCAGAGCAAAATCCGAAGATCATTGGATGCCAACGTTGAATAGACACCGTACGAAGATCCCGGTATTTCAACTGTAAAAGAAATTAAAAGGAGAACATTACTAATTACTACCGATTTCCTACTTAATATATAGCATAGTGGATTTAACTTTAAAGTATGCACGGTAAAGAAAGAAGGCTTTTACGATGTCAAAGGCAAGTACAGAGTCAATTACAGTATCACATTCCCCATAAAGCTGAAAAAGCAAACCACAACATCATGATTAGCATCCTAGTTTAGTAGTTAACTTTAGAATTGTCTGAATTAACTTCACTGTCATTTATATGATTTACCCTATTAACAAAGGGTCATGCTAACATTAGTACATGAAGGTAGTATGTTAGCATGATACTCTTTTTCTAATTTCCTAAAATATCCCTAATAGCAAATTAGCAACACATGAACAAAATGGGTTTTCTGTCTTTTCTGATCCAGCTTTTTCCTCCCCCACCCCACCTAGTGTCCGATAGAGAAGAAATCCAAGTTTGTTTCACTGTGAATTCTTTATGAATTTCCACCCGTTTTCTTAATTAAACGCCTTCTACTGTAAATTATGTTCTTAAGATGAACTCATCCCGTCATTAGCGTTTTCTAAGACACAAAAACGAAGTTATAAGTGATGAATTAAGATCTTTTTGGTGGATAAGCCACGTTCATGGCTTCTTTCATTTCTTTTTCCAGAAAATCCAAATAAGAGCATAGATAAGAACATAAACAACAATGTCGTCGGAGGGTGAAGATGACTCTGATTTAAAACTCAATTTGAGTTCTAATTGATATGGGTGTAATTTGTTATTCCATGTCTCAATATATTTATTCTTTGGGAGTGGGATTCTGAAAACTTTAATGGTTGAGACCAGTTGAGAAAAGCAACAACTAGCAATGAAAAGAGCTTTGTTAAGTTGAATTTGGGAGTCAAAAATGAAAAGAATCTGAGAGCACGAAAAAGAAAGGAGGACAACTGGAAGAGAGGGGGAATGAGAATTGGACATTGATTTTCGGTAAAATGACAAAAGAGCCCCTAACATTAACACATTGTTCATTTGTTATAAGGGACATTTTAAGAAATTAGAAAATGTGTAGTATGTTAGCAAGAACCATTAACAAATTACGCTTCCATTGCTAACCAAGTGACAGTAACTATATTTTCTTTTGCAAGTTGCCACAATAGAGGTCCTCAATTTCTGGCCGGTAGTACCGGCACAGCTATTGCAGAACACACCTACACAAGAAGAAACCTAAAATATTTCTTCATTTAAGTAATGTTATCGGTTATTATCAATTTGTCTATTACTTGGAAAGTGAGTTCAGAGCTAAGTTGCTCCGACATGGCAGTTTAGGTGCCGCACCAGTGTCGTCATGACACTAGTATGGGTGTGGGTATGGGATCCGTACCGGATCTGGTCAAACAATTTTGGGTACTTTGACCACGACGGATGGAAAAATTCGAGACGAGATACAATTTAATTCCCGAAATCAGAACCAAAACTAGGGTAAATTTTGAAGAAAATAGCATAATTTATCGAGAAAATCAATCTTTTACGTATCTACAACTTGAGAATAAAAAAGAAATCCGCACTTTACAAGCAATACTTAAGTATTCACAAAATTTCTCATAATTTAGAGATATTTTTATATTTTTGAATTATTTTTAGCCGGATCCCCGCACCTGTATCCGTAATAGGATCTGTATCCCCGAATTTTAGAATTTACATCTCGAAGGATCCAACCTCTAGATCCGCACCCGTGTCCGAGCAACTTAGGTTCAGAGTGCATTTCTAATGCGCGGTTCCAATTTCTATTTTATGAGGGATTAAGAAGATATCCAGAGACTAAAACTATGCGATACTTCAGAAAATGGAAGACTTGTAAACGTGCAGCGCAAAGCTGTAAAGAGGATTTTTCAGATAAACAAAGTTCCTAAGAGAATGCACCCGGCCAAATAATGGGCCTTGTGGATGATTTTTGCTCTTAGATCTGGTCAGATTGCTCACTAGAGGTGCTGGATCTGGTTAAGAATGATTAATGGAGGTATTTTGTTCACTTTTAAGCTTATTGAATTCTGTGTTGACAAGACCACAGCTTCATTCCTATCGAGAAGAATGCACCCGATCTTTCTTAGACTGTAGACCTTGGCCTTATTTCTTGTTCTTTAAAGGGTTTGCCCATTTAAACCCAGAATCACAGTTGAGATGGATTTGCCCAAAGGACACTTACCAGAGTTGGCGTGAGTTTTGTAAATTGAATTCATGGAAATAACACCAGTATTTAATTAAGCATTAATCATGTGTTGATTGGTTGTTATGTTTAGTCACATTATTAATTATCCGGCATGTAAATTACAAAAAAAGTCCTTTATATTACTACTACATCCATCCCAATTTGTTGACACCATTACTATTCAGGAGTCACAAATTTGTTTCATTGACCACAGTTTTCTAAAACATTTGCTCCCCTCATTCCAGTTTAAGTGACTCTACTTCCTTTTTAATATGTTCCAAAAATAATGACCTGTTTCTAAATTTGGAAATAATTAACTTAAACTTCCACATTTTACGCTTTTGTAACCACAAAAATATTATGACATGTTTAACCACAAGTTTCAAAAGTCTTAGTCACACAGATATTATGACATATTTAAGACCACAAGTTTTAAAAGTCTTCCTTTCTGTCTTAAACTCCATGCCTAGTCACATAAATAGAAACGGAGGGAACATTAGATAACAATACATGGATTAGCTATACCTACGTGAGAGCATATAAATGAGAAAAATGTCCTTTATACTACTCCATCCATCCAATTTGGTTGGCACCATATTTGGGACTCACAAACTTGTTATGACTACAATTTTGTTAACATTTATTAGATATTTTCAGCTATATAAGGTTAATCTGCATTACTCGTGTAAAATCTAAATATGTAAATGTTATTTCAAAGAGTTTAAGAAATTAATGTCTAAATATACGTTATAAATTAGATGGGTTGACCCTAGAACTTTGAATACCGCTATTCTTTTCGTGATGGAAGAACTTTTACTTATTTAGTCAACCATCTTTTACTTATTCTCTCTCATTTGTTTCTAAAATATAATTTTCATGCTTAAAAGATGAATGCCATGTTTATTTATCCCTTGCCTCCTTTTGATTATAAAAGGAGTGAAGTCGTTGTACTTGTAAATATTTCAATACTACATTGGTTCTTTGCAAATACACTTTTATCTTACTGCTCAGAAAATAATATTTTAGCTATGTTGCTCGGACTCTCCAAAGATGTTGCCGGATGCATGTCGGATCCTTCAAAAGTAGTGTATTTCTGGAGGATCCGACACGGTGCGGCAGCATTTTGGAGAGTCCTCGCAACATAGTATTTTAGTATATTCATTTTAATTTCCCTCTCAATAGTATTCTTGATATGAGAACTACAAATTGATAATTAATTGCAATACGATAATCATTATAATCACATGATACCAAAACTAAATGTTAATTGGATAAAGATTAACAAACCAAGGGTATTATTGGAAACAAATCTTTATCCAGTTTACAATCCAATACATGTTTGAACTATTACTGTATATATCATAATGTTATTAGTTCAAATATAGCAAAATCTACCGGCTTGTACATGGCGGAGAGTTTGAAAGAAAGGAATTTAAGATGTTTTCAGAATAAGAAAGAGCCAATTAGCAAGATAAAAAGTTTAATATATTCTTTTGCTTTCATTTGGAGTACACAGGAATTTAGTGAAGACGCAGATAGAGCCACAAATTTTATTAGCTCTCTTCAGAATAAAGGGAATGTATTCTTATGCTTTTTGCTGTACATATTCAGCACAATCTTAGTGCTGCTTAAACAATAAAATTATACTTTTACCAATCAAAAAAAGAAAACATCTACCCACAACTCATATGCTATAAGTTTGCACATCTGATCTCACAGATGCAGTTGGGTTGGGTAAATACATTATTTCTTTTTTCTGATAAGTAATGTCTTGTCCAACACTGTTACTTATTTAACCTAACTATATCTCAAGACAATGTGTTGAATTGTTGCATACGGACCATTTTGGGATAAACACAGCCAAACAATTTGGTACTTCCTAGCAGGAGTCTTCTTATCACAAGACTCCAGTCCAAAATACTTGATCCCATGATTTTCACTTAACAAAAATCAATGCAACATCATAACCCTAACTAGCAATTCTCCAACTATAATTCGCTAGCTGAAAATTATAAGTCCCTAGAATTTCATATTGCATTACTTTGATGCACAATTTTAAAGAATGAAGAAATGCATACCAAAAAGTTCCAAAGCGCCTGCCGCTGATGATGAACCAGCCATCACCAGGTCTGCCGAGTGATAGCATAATAAACCCACCTGAGCAAGAAAAAAGACAAGATATGGTGTCATATGAATTAGCTTCCCCAGGTATTTCCATGATAAAGATAAGAGTAGTCGACCGTAGTACGTCACCTAAGTGGAGGAAACTTCCTCTTCTCTTCCCATGTACTTGGGCAATTGCATTTCCCAGCTATCACAACGAATAAATAACTTATCCTGCATGCATCTAACAACAAAAAGAAACAAAAGAAAATACTAAGTCTAGCATAGTTGCAAAGCTTTAAACAACTTCATGTAGGTGGTGTGTCCAGAAACGGAGGACCAGGATGTTTTCCATTAGCCAGTCCACTATGCCCCAATCAGAGTATGTATGGGGATTATGAGAGTATGGGCACGTAGAAGGCAGAATATGCATTTGAATCCTCACTTACATCCAACAAGAAATACTGACACATAGTCACACAAAAAAGAAGATTCACAACCAAAAAGAACATGTGAATATAACCTTCCGCGGTATTAGTGTTTTCAGTAAGATTTAAACCTTTTCTTTTTGTAGAACAAGTATGAAGTCTTTGTTATTATGCCTCTGGAGTGTAAGCCTTACAGAGATTTGAAAAATGTTAATCACGTAAACCAAGGATGAAAGAGCTGAAACCCAGTATCATCACTCCTCCTTATAAGTTTAAAAAAAAAAAAGCTGCTGCAAAAGATGTTTTTTTTTTCATCCTTGTCCTTCTATGACTGCAATCATTAAATGTCATCCTATAAAAGCAAAGCTGAAAGCGTGAAACAGGGTTCTGATTTTAAGAACATGCTAGATCAAATGCTTACCTGACGGTAGAGAACTATGTCCAAGAAGTGCAGTTCAAAATGCTTAATAAAATTAACTCAGCACCATCTAGATTAGAGTTCATCCATTTGACTATGTAAATAGTTCCTCATGATTGCTGTCCTTGGATACAATCTGCAATGTTGTGCCTTTCGTTATCCAGGCAGTGAGTTGAGGCTGCTGTTCAAAAGGCATAAGAGGATGGAGGTTTCCATTTTCCAGCTGTACACCATAAACAAAAGGTAGTCGAAGTGACAGAAAACTCTCTGGGGGTAAAATTACTTGACATCCAAGACAGAACTGCAACTTCTTTTTACGGTCTGGCATAGATGGAGGGAGACATGACTCCTACAAAGCCAAAATAGAAAAGAAACTCAGCAATTGAGAGAATAATTGAAATGCTTATTTCCAAAGATGTACACCAAAAATGAAACAACAAAACATCTAAAAAGATGCGTGAAGATGTGACAACAAGCAGTCAAGCATCCCATTGAATAGGATCCAGTGAGCCAACAATGGCAACTACATTGAAATAAAAGAGGAGCTATAAACCTTTTTAGCCTTCTTGTAATCTTATTTAGGTGAGTTGTTGAAGATATAATAAAGTAATAAAAGTGTGTTGTCTCTAACAACTTAAGCTTTTAGATGAGGTGTCACACAATTCAACATAGTATCAGAGCAAGCGGAGGTCTTGCACTCAAGACTCACCACTACTTAATTATTAGAAAAAATATCCACATATCTGACCCATGAAAGAGAATCAAGCCCGCGCTTGAGGAGCATGTTAAAGATATAATTAATTAATAAGTTTAAGTTTAGATGAGGTGGTCAGATAATTCAACAATGAGATCCAGATCCTAGCATTGCTTATAAGCACCTCAACGACCTACTCCATCTGTGAAATAATCAGGAAGCTTACTCCACTGTTTGGCCAGCATAAAAGAAGAATGCAAAGCCTGTTGCTGCTTATTACACTGGCAAGTTCATTTTTCTTGGAAAATCTGTTTTCCATTGTTCTATTAGTGTAACCCATGTTTATTTTATCTGTAAAGTAATTCCAGTGTAAAGCAACATGTTTTCTAACGGAATAGCAGTTACAGATTCACAAAAAGGTCAGATGCTTTTTGATAAAGAGCACAACAGAGGTCAGATGTTCTTTCACGGAATGCAGCATAAATTAATTTTTCACCTTTAATATTAGTATTAAGATTCTACGTCACCTAACAAATACTTCTCTGCATTATCAATTTCCGCAACCCGACAATTGATCGATAAGCTACACTTCAATCCCATGTCAATAGGAGTCATTTTTATTGATCATTAACTTACTGTAATTGACTTGCAAAAAGATTACTGTAAGAGATCATTTGGTTCACGGACTAGTTGTGCATGATTTAAAATGTACGGATTGTTATGCAGTTAATAATAATACATGAATCACTATACACAGATTGTGACACCAATCTTCAAGTTTTCGTCTAATGAAACTTCAAGTTAAACCATTACAAATTCTTATTGTATAATACCATCATGATTTCTTTTATTTACTAAAACAACAACAACAACATACCCAGTAAAATCCCACTAGTGGGGTCTGGGAAGAGTAGAGTGTACGCAGACCTTACCCCTACCCCGAAAGGGTAGAGAGGCTGTTTCCGGAAGACTCTCGGATCAACAGAAGAGACAATAATATCAGAAAAGGAAACAAAAGAAAACAAAAGAAACAAAAGAAAACAAAAGGAAACAAAAGAAAAGGCCGGTAACAACAAAAGATGCCAGAAAGATAATAACAGCAACGTAAGAGACAACAAATAAGTGAAAGGACTTCTCTTTACTAAAACAAGCCACCATATTTTTTGGGTACTTTTTTCCATTTTGGGTGCTCTTACCCAGTATCACTAATCTAGGTTGCTCAGACACGGGTGCGGGTGTCCGACACGGGTACGGATCTAGAGGTCGGATCCTTCTAGAAGTAAATTGTAAGATTCCAAGATTCAAAAAAATAAAAGTATCTCTAAATTATGAGAAATTTTGTGGAATATTTACATACAACTTGTAAAGTATGGATTTCTTTTTTATTCTCAAGCTGTAGATAAGTAAATGATTGGTTTCTTAGATAAGGTATGCTATTTTCTTTAAATTTACCCTAATTTTGGTTCTGATTTCGGGAATCAAACTGTATCTCGTCTCGATTTTTTCCGTCCGCTGTGGACAAAGTACCCAATATTATTTGACCAGATCCGGTATAGATCCCATACCCACACCCATACTAGTGCCGTGTCGACACGGGTGCGGCACCTAAACTGCCATGTCGGAGCAACTTAGTCACTAATACATATATTCTTATTCATCACTTCATCCAACATAAATACATACGTCAAGAAAATGGTACCAAACATTGTATGAGTATTGCACAGACTGGGAATCGAAGGTTAATTGAGTAATGCAAAATGCCAAGATCAAAAACAATCAGGGCTTCATATGATTAGGTGGACAAGGATAAGTTAATTCGATACCAAAAGCTCCTGTAAGTTACCTCAAACTGTATGACTGGGTTTGCTGCTAAAATGACTGGGAAGTGAGGTGTAACCTGCATGACAAAGAGCATACTCATTACAACTAGCAAACGAAGTGAACTTCTCATGTATATATGTATACATATATGGACCAATATATGAACCAACAGGACATGAAACATACAAAAAATTTGCAGTTCAGTTTTAGAAGTGTAACCATCAAAATCATTTCTTTTTGAACTTTTAGAAATATGGGAAGGAACCATACAAGTTGAAAAAAATGCAGAAGATGGACCAATTTCTAAGATCTGTTATTTACAACCAACCTACTTCTTCAGTTACCAATAGTTTTGATGCACTAGCTAACATGTCACAGTCACACTCACTGTATTTCACATGAAATAGGTCCTTTAAACAGAGAATATTAAAAAATATCCAACAAGAAAACAGAAGAACAAGTAACTTGTAGCTGCAGTTCTCCCGTTTCCAACCTGTACATGATAATCCTCAAAAGAAGAGGTCATTCTCTCCTGGCTTACCAGACTTAGGTTGAATAGAGAAGACCAAAAGATATCTAATATATCTATCTTTCTGTAGAACTTTCTCATATGCAGCCCATTGGCCATGAATAAGACTGCTAACATGTCCAAGAAATTGGTGAAAATGAGTAAATGCTTTTACAAAACAGGGCAAGTACCTACGCCTAAAATGTAAGGAAATGTAAATTTCAAGAGCTTCCTCATTAGAGGTTAGAAGATACAATTACTCGCAAAAAACCTATTCATGTGCATAAGAATTTTTCAGAATGACTTTGATAGAGAGGTTCAATAGTTTTGCTTCTCTCGTGCTCCTGCACGATCTTACTACTTGGCAGTTTTTTAATATGATTCTGAGTTTTATAATGAACTGGTAGCATCATTGCTCTTTTTTACCAAGCTCTGCAATAAACAAAGGTTAGGAAAACTTTTTGTTACATTTAAGTTTGTTTGAACATGGAGACACAATAAAGGAGATCAATTCATATAGCGTGATAGACATGATCATTTAGCACTTAGCTGACATCTTAAAGCATATGTTTACATTGTGAGGTGTCTTAACAGAGAATCCACTCATAATTGGTTTAGGTACAAAAAAACACGAAACAATATCACCTAAGCCTGTTCATTTGATTAGTAGAAACAATGAATCAGATAAGCACTTGAAATGAAATCACATAAAGAGGGATACTTCTTTAGGAGGCCATAAAGATTCAGGAAAATTGAGGAAAATAGCCAATATCAGAAGTAAGACTCCCACCAGAAAGATCCTCTGGAGCTGTGAAATGGTTCCTGCAAATCTCACATCTGCTTGATCATTCTTACTCTTCAATTCCATACAATGTGGGCAGTTCATGTATATGGGCAAACTTCTATCTAACAAGGAGGTAGCATAGCCAGAGTCATCGAGATTTAGAGATTGAAGACCAGTTGCAAGATCTTCCCCTGATGCAGCATGTACTGGATGCCAGGAAAGTTGAGCTGGCCCTTCTATATTTGAATATCCGTCATCTAACCCCTCATTTGACTTTTCCAGATTCCGAACCTTCCTAGAGGAAGTAGGAATGAATCCATTTGCCAGTCGGCGGCCTTTGCCATGGCCACCATTCTTACCCCCTCTAGAGGGACCTACCCCCTTATGATCGATATTTTCTAAAGATGAAGAGACAACAGATTCTACAGGCAACACATAAGGAGAACCTAGATTGTTGAGATGGTCCGCAGTTAATATAAAGCGGTGCCCACGGGGGCACTCATGCTCAAATCCAATGTAAACTGTTGCGTGCTTAGAAGAGGTAATTGGTCTGATCTTCTCAATTCTATTGATCTTCATTGCATCCAAATGTGTACCTATCTGGAAAATTTGATTACCTTTAGTAACATCGTTAGAAACAGTAATACTATCATTCTTAACTTCATGAATATCAGGAATTACAGCAATTTTTTCCGATACTGGTTCATCACTAATCTCATTAACCTTCTCTCTTTCCCCATCTCTCGCACTTTTTTGCTTAATACTCCTATCTGGATTTGACATAATTTGTTTATTTGATTGTAGGGGAGGAAATCCTGAATTTGCAGCAGTTGAACCAGCTACCACCTCAGAAAAAGCTTTTCTCATATTAAAGTTGGAAACTCCTTTACCAAAATTATTTACTTTATCATCTATTTTGACATTTCCTGCAGAGGACTTCTTTTGGATTTGATATCCATTTTGTACACTCAAAGCACCAGCATTCTCTATGCCTGCATCTTTGTTAGGCCCATCCCTGGCATTGCTATTAAACGTATTCATATTTGCTTGTTGTGAATTGCTTGATAGTAGCCCATTCTCACGTTTTGGCTTCTCAAGAAGGATGGTCCACCTTAGAAGAAATTTCTGGGTAGAACTGAAGCCACTCTGTATCAAACCTTTAGATGGCTGGTAGTATCTTGCATTCCCAACTCGAATTAAACTCCAAGAAGGGGGCTGAATGGGCCCACCTGTATCACTTCCTGGGGGTAACTGAATTGTGGGAAGAAGCTTGTCACAATCCATCGAAGGATTGAAAGTAACATTAGCTGTTTCAAAATCAAAAGGATCTGGCCGCAGGAGTCTTGAACGACCACATGCACATGCATGTAGGAAGACGTACCCACTGGAATGTGGCTTAATGTCATCACTTGAACATAAACCGCCAGTTTCTACATCATGCCTTTGGTGCATGCATGGTTTTCCCGTGAGACTAACAGCATCACATAGTTGCCTGCCAGAAGTCCAGATGGATGTGCACTCATCTTCCAGTTTCTGCAAGTAAAACCGTACAGCAGGTCCCTTTACCATTGAATTGAAGGCATGCAGAGCCCTCTCCAAATGGGCGTTATGTTGGGAAGTTGGGTAGCACGGAGGCAACTCATTTAGATATGTCGCCTTAGCTACTGGAAGGGCCTTTTGGCACCATAAAGTAGAAAACCTAGTATTTACCCCTCTACCTCTCTCCAAATAAGACATTGCAATCTCAAGTGGATCTGAAACTTTTGAGGCATTTCCTTCAACAGGTGGTGAAACGGAATTTCTTTGTTGCAGCTTTCTCTTACTAATTTCAGTCTCATCCAAAATGGCATGTTTTGCTGAAAGGATTGCTTGCAGAATAAGCTGACTAGAAGATAACCATTTCTCCAAATGTGGAAGTTCAGGAGAAATAAATGTCTTCCCGGAAGCAGCAGAAGCAGCTGCTGCTGCAGCAGCAACAGCAACCATGCCAACACCAGAAGCTGGACCACTGTTGGTATTGGAAACCACACCCCCTCTTCCTCTTAATATGTCAGCCTGCCTGCAGATGAACTCCTTGACAGAAAGTATGTCTTCTCTATTTGCACTCTGGCTATGACTTTCAAGCAGAAGAGAATCTGAGGTTGCTTTCCCGTTCAGAACATCTTCCACAAGACCAGTGGCAAATTCAAGGGATTCACCTCTCTTATTAGATGTTATATCTAAAAGTGCAACAGCCTTTGATGCATCAAGGGAAAACAGAGGTGCAGAATTTGACACACCCCCACTTCTTGAACCCGTATGACCAGTTTCAGAACCAGACAGCGTCCGGCATTTTTTAATGGAGAAACGAATCTGTGCCTCCAGAGAAGACTGCAATTTCTTCCTGAACCCACCTTCAGATTTACTCACAGGACGTGCAAGCACAACCACAGAACCAGAACCTTTTGGAGCCAAGCTTGGCCGAGCCGAGGTACCAGCACTAGATGATTGATTCGCTGAGGAAATATCAGTTGGCTCCTCAACACTAGAACTAGGACAATCATCAGCAAAATCGTCAAGAAAAGCAAAAAGCGTAACTGGAGTACATTGCCCGGGTAATAAAGAGGTATATGAACCTAAACCTGACATCAAAGTAATTGCTGAATTATTTCGGTTGAAAATGCCTCGGCTTTTGATAGGAGAAGGATTGTTAGATGATCTTCCAGATGCACCTCTACGTGATGGAGATGCAAAAGGTGAGCCAGATCCAGAGGGTGACAGAGATTGTGACTTCACAAATGGAGTCATTGCTTGTTTAGCTGCTTGCAAGATGCGAAATCTCTTCAGTGCCTGGGTGTCAAAGCGTGACCCGTCTTGAATAAAAACTACAACATGACAAACCTGCATAGCTAAGCATGGTTGAGTAGCACTCTATGATTAACAAGGTCAAGTATGAAATATGAAACAGAAGCTTATATGGTTCACTCCACCTCCCAAACCCCTACCCAGGAGCCCAACAGTGACCCTCCCTCCCACTTTGCTACCTGTCTAAAATCCCAGCCTTAAGGTTGTGGGTGGAGGGTCTTTACTAGTAGGTATCTTTCCTTGACACATAAGAATATGATTAGCACTAGTAATAAACAAAATCTGGAAAAGACCTTTAGGCACATGGTAAGAAGAAGAACTGGACTGTAGGTCTCAAACTCAATTCTCACCCTTCAGTAAAGAAGATGGCAACTCAAACTGAACACTAAGCAACAATCAATACATGCTCATTAATGCATGAGAAAGAAAAAATTCGTTTGAAATGATACAGAACTCTTCTACACACACTTTTTCTATACAACTGTGAAACCAAAACTTTGTCCAATAACAAGAAGCAAGCTTTCCTGAGTAAAACAAGTAAAAATCAGATAACTCAATTGGTTTAATGAAATAAACATCTACGACTAACCTAAACTACATCAATCCAATGCCTCTACTTTTCCACTAGCTACATCAAAAAAACTGTGCTTAGTCGCTTCCTGCAATGAACAAACATCCTCATCTTGTGCCTACTTTTTTAATCGCTTCTTCTTTTCCAAATAAATGAAACAGGTCCATATGTAATGGAATAGGTATTGATGATTTTTTATTTTGATAACCGTGGTGTCCGGACCAGCTTCGCGCAACTCGACTAATTCCACGGGATACCTACTATGAGCCCGTTTGGATGGGTTATTTTAAGTGACTCCTAAGCATAAGCCATAAGTTAGGAATTCTAGCTTTTGGCTTTTGGCATATTTTTGTCATTTTAGCTTAAAAACAAGTGCTTAATAGCACTTTTTTGCTTTATCCAAACACTATAAAAAGGCTTAAAAGCTATCTTGGCTGAAAAGCACTTAAATAAACCAATCCAAACGGGCTCTATATCCCACCAACAACAGGTACTAGGTAACTTTGTCCGCTAGTTTGGACAGATGGGAAGAAATCATCTAGCGTTTTCACCTTCGTTGGAATTTGGTATTGATGATTTCTTCATCCGACCTCACCTAATTTGAGTGAAACTTTTGCAGAACTCATTACAAAAGCAATGTGTGCCCATGTTTCTAATTCCTGTTTTCTACTTATACATATTTTGAAAGCTTCATTAATCTCTATTCTCTAATGTACAGCCAAGAAACAAATCTAAGATAACAAGGAATAAAGAAATCACTTTGACCAAATAAATCTCGTGTACTGATCAATATATCAGAAAAAAAAAAGAACTTACAGAGAACATAAAGAGCATAGCTTGGAGATCACCAAATTCGCGGTCTTCCAAAATTGAATCAAATCCCAATTTAGACTCCAAATTTTTGTCTTCCATCATCACAGGGCATCGAGTTGAAGAGTATTGCAAGTACAAAATCCCCTTTTCCTCACCGTGATAATAGCTTATGTTCCTACACTCAAACCAACTCTTCATGTACTCAGTAACAGCAAATTCCGGTTTTTCAACAAAAATCGGCCTATCTAAACCCCCCGAGCCAAACACATTAGAGTCGATAATCCGGTTCATCAAATAAGCCACGTCATCATGGCGTTTTCCGATAAAGCCAACCACGACGACACCGTTTTGAGGGGTGAGTGGAGGTGGTACGTCTGATGGAGGTGGGTGGGGAGGAAGGGGTGGAACTTGGGGGTGGGTAGGTGGAATCGGAGGTCGAATTAGGACCCGCATGGATTGAGGATTTGGTAATTTTGAGGAGTCCATTGAAACTGACAGCGGGAAGAATCACGTGTGTAATTGGTGTATAACTTTCACAGTATCGTCCATTATAATGAAGCAGAAACAGCTCTAAGTGGCGGTGGCGGTCGGCGGTCGTCGGCGGCGCGTGAGAATATCTGTTGAAATTTTGCCGTCAAATCTATGGCGTTGAAACGTTGAAGACGAGACAGTACGATACGATGGGAAGCTAGTCAGAGCTTGAATTATTGGACTGGGCTAAGGGTTAAGGCTAACAATGGCTACAAAATTCATAGTCCAACAAGGCAAGCCTTATGTCCAAAAGCTTTTTGGGCAGCCCCATTAGAGTGCGAGTAGTAGGCAATGTTAAAATATCATGGTATAGCCAGTTTTCACACTGGTCAATGAAAAACAGACAGCGTTTATCAAGTCAATAAAAAATAATTATTATTTTGCTGCAATAGGGACCGGTCCAGTATAATATACGGGAGTTCTGGTGCATTTGTGTACGAACTCCAGCATATTATGCTGGACCGGTATACTTTGCTAACTCCTGTAAAATTTGCGGGAGGCTGGAGCACCAGTGCTCCAAACTCCAGTATATTATACTGGACAATTATACTTGCTGGAACTCCCGTAAAATTTGCGGGAGTTCCAGCATAATTATGCTTGAACTCCCGTAAAATTTGCGGGAGTTCAAGCATACTTATGCTGGAACTCCCGTAAAATTTGCGGGCGTATTTTTCCGAATTTTGAACAGTGTTTTCGCTCAGATTTAAAGTAGCTAAATTTCGATGACTTTTGAAATTTGGCTATTTTTCAACGACCAGTGGTAAATCTGGCTATTTTTTAATTTCTCCCAATAGGACACCAAGAGGTGGTCTTTAATTTTGGAATTTTTACCTCCTAATAGCAAAGGTTTAACACCTTATTATTTTAAATAAATTATATTCTATAGATACCTTTTAATGTTTATAGCAAAATATCTAATTTTGGTTANATATATATATATATATATATATATATATTCTTAACGGGTTAACGGATTATCCCTTAAGAAAATTGAATAATTCGCCCCCAAATCGATAAGCCGTTAATTAAAAAAACTTCAATTTGTTCCACGTCCGTTAAACCGTTAACCCGATACCAATAAGCCATTAAGCTTCGATTTCGGTTCGGTTTTCGGTTTTGGTTCGGTTTTGAACACCCTAAAATAGAGTACACTCTACTCACATTTGCAAGGGGAGATTTGTGAGTATTTCAGCACTTCAGTGAGGATTTAAGGCACTGCACCTCGCTGAGTAAAGGTTCAACTTGAAATTAAGTAGTGTGTGTCTGAGTTAAATGAAAATTTCTAGTGTTCCTTTATCCAAATGATAAGCTCGTTCCCTTTGGGTCTGTGCTTGGGCTGGCCAATTCTAAATCCAATTTTGTTTTAAAATCTTATTGCAAAGCCCACTAGTGCATCAGAACTCTTCATTTTCTTATTTCGGGAATCTTATATAATTATCCCAAATAAATTTCAACTTACCAACCTTTAGCTATTAATCATAGACTTACCAAAACTAGTCAAGCACATATAGAAATTAAAAATCCAAATAAATAAGGTTCATTCTCTCCAAGAACCATACGCAAAGATCTCCTTCCATATAAACATTAGGTGCAAGAAGCAAATAAAATTTCATGGATGAGATAGCAAACAAGGTGATATATATATATATATATATATATATATATATATATATATATATAAGATTCTAAAAATCTAAGCAAAAAAGGATCTTTTTCGATGGATATGGTTGAAATTTATTGAAAATATATAGATGAGTCAATATACAAATTTTGAGGAAGATTGAAAGTGATCTGGATTGATTTGGTACCAAAATTCGTAGTTAAAATCGAGTTCAAAAAATTCTTCTGCGACACATATCATACACATGTATACATGAATATACATGTGATAACATTTGATACATATGTGATATACAAATGATACAAAATGTGATATACAAATGATACGCAATGTGATACATATACAATTGTTTTTTTTATGTTTTATCTTTTACTTTGAATTTTCAATTCAACCACCTCAAAATACCGCCAAATCATCCCAAAACTGAGATTCAAACTCTTTAAGATGTACCCAATCTATTCTAATAACACACACTCAAAAGAAAGCAAAAATTTGACCTCGTTTTGGCTACAAAGAGCTAATTGGCTAGTGTGAGAACCTAATTTTTGACTATATTTGAATTTTTCATCACTTTTTAGTATGTAAATATTTAATATGTTTGATCTTGATATTTTAGCCTTTATTTCACTTTTTAGTAGGTTTATTTAATAAAATTAAAACTACAAAAAGAGTTACACTTTTAGATATTAGATGTATTTCATTTGCAAAATAAAAAAAAATTTACAAAAATATGCTTTTCCTTCTAATTTTGGTAATACTAGCAATTTTATAACTTTTTCCTTAATAATTTCTTATATTTTTTTTGTAGTTTTTAGTTTTAGTATAGTATCTTTAATTTTGATTATATTTAATAAATAAAAAAGGAAATAAAAAAAGAACTAATACAAAAATGCCACCTAGTAAGATTCTTCCATATCTTTTGTAACAAACTCACATGCTCTCACTCAAAACTCACATGCGCCTACACACTCTTATTTTCTTGGCCACCAATAATCACTATACGTACACCTATATATCATCCACTCACTTACAAAATTAAAGAGAGCACACACACACGAGAGAGAGCTGGAAAAAAGGAAACAACAATAGAGGGGAGAACGAGAGAGAAAAGGCAAGGCATTAGCTTCTAGGAATGCTCCCTTTTTGCTCGTCCATTTCTTCTTCCATAATAAAGCAGATCCACCACTAGAGCATCATCTTTTCACCGTTAAATCAGTCCATAAAACCTCCATTAAACCACCCTTAAACTCCATCAAACAGCTTCACAAATTCCAGCACAAAACCAGCCTCCAAAAGCCATGAAAATGGGCCTCAAATCCTAGCAAAAATAGCCCAAAAACAAGCTCAAATCCCTCACCAAACTCCCGTGAAAAACCAGTCCAAAAGGTAGCAAAAACTCGGCAATAAATCACTAAAAACGTTGCCAGTTTTCACCCCAAAAGCAGCCTCGAATCAGCTTCCAAAACCTCACAAGGACAGCGCCAAACACCATATCTCAAGCTCTATTTTTTCTGCTACGTGAGAAAGGGTCGAGTTCGAGTTTGACGTTGAGGTCGTCATCGAATTTTTCGGTCAGTAAAGGTCCTGCTAGAGTTGCCGACGTATTTTCCGGTCGAGCGCTAGTTAGTTGTTGGTTTTCCGTCCAAGGTCCATTGGGGATCTTTCTCACTATTTTTGATTCCCCTGTACTGGATGATTTCTGATTCTTCAATTAAAAGCTCCAGTTCCTTTCTTCACGGCATTACTCCATTTTCAAACAGTTTTGATCGACTTTGTTGGTGCACTACTGCTTCATTTTCATGTATGTTTGCTTTAGAATAATGATTATCATTAGTAGTATGTTTGTTTAATGGGAGTTTAAGAATAATGAAATGTGAATAAGCGAACTAGATGTATTGAATTGGAAATGCAAAACTTTGATAGGAATAGTTTGGTTGTTTCTTTGAATCAGGATTTCGTTGTGTTGAATCAGAATAAATATAGGCCTTAACAAACTAATTTGAGACGTAGGCTTAATGTTTAAAACATGTAAGAATGATAAATAGATTACAGAAGATAGCATTGAGACTATTCCGTTTGGGCTAATCACATTAGTTTGGATTTGGGTCATAGTTTAAGTACATATAGGCCTAATAGGTAGAGCTGGCCATTCCTGATATATTAACAGACATAAGAAATTCAAACGATAGTATGCTTTAGGCGTGCTCTTAACAAATCAAATTATCGTGATTATGTATACGTCCACGTGACATAATTACGATTCCCAAAATTAAAACAAAGGTATGCGTTCCCGCAGCTTTGGGCGTAACAATCTTAATTATTAACAAAGTGTTATTGATTGTGTACACGTATGCGTGATATAATTTTGACACACCAAACAAAACGAGTACACGTACGCGTGACTCGTTTCAAGATAATTTCATAAAAATGAATAACCAAGCAATTAAAAGCGGTTTAAGGCGAAAGTGCATAAATTTCCCTAGAACACCTAATAATCTGTTAATTAAGCTACGTATAAATTTCAAAGCGACCGTGCTAAAACCGCGGAACTCGGGAGTGCCTCACACCTTCTCTCGGGTTAACAGAATTTCTTACCCGGTCTTCTGTGCTCGCAGACCATAATTCAAAGTTCAAAACTTTTCTCGATTGGGGATTTAAAAACTGGTGATTTGGAACACCTAAAAAACTCCATTCCAAGTGGCGACTCTCTTTATTAATTAAATAATCTCATTTCGATTAATGTCACTTTAATTGAAAAAATTCCCTATCCCTTGGGAAAAAAGAGGTGTGATAGCTCTGACGAGTCTGCTGGGGAAGAGAACCCAGAATCTCTGGCTCAAGGTTCAAAATTCGAGCTTGTAATGTGATATATACTTGGTTTTCTTGATTGTTGATATTGTGTTTGTAGGCCTAATGTGTCACCACCCAAAATCCATTAAGGGTCGTGATGGCGCCGGACACCACTATCAGGCAAGCCAACACCAAGAAGTTCATTAAATTCTCATTTTAGTATTTTTGAAATTATTTCATTTCCTTACATTTCAACCGTAAATAATGAAATTCACTGAATAAATAATGATGTCTTTAACAACTTAAATATTGAATAATCCCATAGTCATCCCAGAACCCGGTATCACAACTGCATGAGCAATTTCTAGGAAATAAATTACAATACGATAACTGTACGGGATACAACTGGACAAAAAAGAATTACAATACTCCAAAAGCGACTCTGCTGGTTGCGGATCGTCTCGAGAGATGCAGCTCACCTAAGTCTCCGTGTCAACCATGCCGCTGCGCCCAACGAGGCCACCAGACGTACATGTGCCTATGCAACAAAAATGCACATCAAGTGTAGTATGAGTACGGAAACAACGTGTGCCCAGTAAGTATCCCGTCTAATCTCGAAGAAGTAGTGACGAGAGGTCGACTTCGACACTCATTAGTGGTCCAATAATAAAGTACCAAAATATGTAGAAAGTGATTTCAAACCCCATAAGCATGAAGCGGGTAAACAAGTCTTTTAATAATAAGAGATTTCCAAAATTTGTATTTCATCATTTATCAATTTATCTCAGGCCAGAGATGTCAAGGCAAGCAATA